AGCGAGAGAGAGAGAGGCACACAGGCACACATATACACAAATATCAGAAATTTTAACATTAAAGTGAAGGGGAATGCCTCATAAGAAAACTAAATGAAGTACAGATTACTATCCCTGTGATCTGTTTGTCTAAGCATGATAAAAAAAATCATCTTTATAGAAGAGATGGACCCATTTGAATACATAAAATATTAAACTATTATATGTGGTGTGGAAACACTACAAACATGGTTGTAAGGTAGCTAAATGATACAGCATAGACAAATGAAGCAGTTCTAAGCAGGTGACACAGGTCTGTCATTCCAGTACTCAGGTAGTTGAGACAGGAGGATCACCATGAAGTCCAGGCTACTGTAAGCTATAATGTGAGATGCTGTCTCAAAAAACTGAAGTATCAATAACGACAATTCATATGCAAATTGCTGTTGTCAGCCAGCACTTGCCAAAGGAAAGAAAACCGCAAATGCGTGTAGGTAACTCACAGCAATATAAATGTAAGAACTGCTAATTAGAAGGTACTGCCTGTCATTTTCCTGATTGCAGACAAAAGAAACTGACACCAGTCGGTTTCAGCAATAAAGGAATTTATAGGAAGCCTATCAGGTTAGCTCACAGTGAAAACAGAGCTGGAGAAACAGGCTTGGGCAGAAACTCAGGGAGGCAGACACCAGTAAGAACTTGTCACTAACGTAGCCAGCAGGACACTGGCTGCAGCGATGCCTGGCCTTATCCCTCACTGATGCCACACTGCTGAACACATACCTGTGGGGTTTAGTGATCTGAAGCATTATCTCCGGCTAACCTGTTTCTTTCTATGCTTTCAGAGTCTAAGCCCAGAGATGCACATCTGGTTGGTCTTTATTAGGTCACCTTCTGGTTCTAGCTAGTAAGGGAGTTGGGTGGGAAGAAGACCGTCTCCCCAAACCCTGCTCTCTTTTCACAATGGAAGCTTGAGTTCTCTCCCCTAATTTTGTGTCCCTTCCAAACTGGAAGTCGGTTTGAGTGTTAAAGAGCTAAAAGCCCAGCTTGTATCCGGCCTCATTTGTACAAATAAAAGCACATTAATATGCCAGCTAAGATCATCACACTTCTTTTTTTTGTTTTTTTTTTTAATTTATTTATTTATTTATTGAAGATTTCTGTCTCTTCCCCGCCACTGCCTCCCATATCCCTTCCCCTCCCCCAATCAAGTCCCCCTCCCTCATCAGCCCAAAGATCAATCAGGGTCCCTGCCCTGTGGGAAGTCCAAGGATCACCCACCTCCATCCAGGTCTAGTAAGGTGAGCATCCAAACTGCCTAGGCTTCCACAAAGCCAGTACGTGCAGTAGGATCAAAAACCCATTGCCATTGTTCTTGAGTTCTCAGTAGTCCTCATTGTCTGCTATGTTCAGCGAGTCCGGTTTTATCCCAGGCCAGCCAGGCGTTGGTGGTGCACGCCTTTAATCCTAGCACTCAGGAGGCAGAGGCAGACGGATCTCTGTGAGTTCAAGGCCAGCTTGCTCTACAAAAGCTATTTTCAAAGCAACACAGAGAAACCCTGTCTTGAAAAAAACAAAACAAACAAACAAACACATCGCTGCCTACCTGGCTACTTAGCAGAGAATGTGACATTTTAATACATTACCAAATATGTGAATATCAACACAAATGTGAAGATAGGCATTAATCCTTTTCAGAGATGAAAAGCTAATTCTCAAAGAAACAGAGGTTCTCCCAAATCTCTCCAGTGTTAAATAGTGTTAACTTGTTCAAACCCGGCCTTCTGGCTCCCCAGAATGGTGATGCCATCTGGGTTCTTTCTTATTAAGGTTGCCAATGTGATAAAGATGATAAAACTGTGTTCTCGGTTCATTATTTTCCAGATAAGCCTGCTCCAAGGTAGACTTGACAGCATATGAAGTGCGCAAGTTCCTTGACCCGAGTCTCTGCATAAGGATGGTTGCAGAAATAAATAAAGTGTAGGCAAGAAAACGCCCCACTGTGCTCTTGCTTCTCATTTGTGTTTCCCTAGCTTAAGTGTAATGGAGGGACAGTGGGATATTTATCATGGAAAGTTGTTTCCAATAAATCTTAAAGAATGGACATACTGGACTGAGAGATGGTTCAGTAGTTAAGAGAACTGGCTGCTTTTCCAGAGGACCTGGGTTCAATTCCCAGTACCCACAGGGCAGCTAATGTGTGTGACTCCAGCCTCAGGGAATCTGATGGCCTCTTCTGGCCTTCCAGTACACTATGCATATGTGTTGCACAGACATACATCTAGGCAACACTCTCATGAACATAGAAATACATAAAATCTAAGAAGAAAAAGAAAAACAACAGATTAGTCGTCCAACAACGAACTCTGCTAAGCCTGTTCTGGACAAGCCAGGATTGGACGGTTTGGGGTCCCTGGGGACCAATATGCCTCCTCCTAGGAGGAGCTTGGAAAGGCAGTCCTCAGGTATCCCGCCAGGAGTTCAGTTGTAATTTGGATATACTCTGTAGAATAAGTGATCGTCACTGAGCATCTGAAAAGAATAAGATGGGTGAGGTCGTGTGGACTGAGCCTACAGCATACGGAAAGTGACTGAGTTGGCTTGAACGAAGATGATCCCCATAAGTTTATATATTTGAATGCTTGGGTCCTAATTAGTGGAACTGTTTTGGATTTTGGTAAGAATTAGGAGATGTTTTCTTGTTAGAGGAGGTGTATCACTGAGAGTGAGCTTTGAGTTTTCAAAAGCCTACAGTAAACTTGGTTCCTTTATGTCTTTCTGTCTGCCTGTGTCTCTCTCTCTCTCTCTCTCTCTCTCTCTCTCTCTCTCTCTCTCTCTCTCTCTCATGCTTGAACACACACTCTGCCTCCAACTTTTGGATAAGATGTAAGCTCTCAGCTACTGCTTCAGCCTCATGGCTGCCTGCCTGCCACCATGCTTCCTACAATGATGCTCATGGACCAATTCGCTGAAACTGTAAGCAAGCCCCCAATTAAACACTTTTTAAAAAAAATAAGTTGCCTTAGTCATGGTGTTTCTTCACAGCAATAGAACAGTAATGAAGATAGTGACTTATCGTATGCTGAATTCCAATAGGGTCAAGTTAATGCCATGGCCAGAAAGTACTAAGAGAGTCTGCAGAAATGATACCTCCAGGAGGAATTCATACCAAAGGCAAGATTTAAGGGACGAGGAGAGATAAACTCAGTGAGGAAGTTCAGGGAAAGCTACCTGAAGCTGGTGGATCAGCTTGGGCAAAGGTTCCCAGTCAGGATCAAATCCCTAGGAGCAGCCAGTGTGTATGCATAGGTGAAGGGCCATGGACTTCAGCTTCTGTCATGCTCAGATGACTTTCTGATGCTGCAAGGAGCTTGAGGCACAGTTAAGGCTTTTTTTTAAAAAAATATTTATTTATTTATTTATTTATTATGTATACAATATTCTGTCTGTGTGTATGTCTGCAGGCCAGAAGAGGGCACCAGACCTCATTACAGATGGTTGTGAGCCACCATGTGGTTGCTGGGAATTGAACTCAGGACCTTTGGAAGAGCAGGCAATGCTCTTAACCACTGAGCCATCTCTCCAGCCCCCCAGTTAAGGCTTTGATTAGGAGGTAGAACTGGAGTTGGTTGGGGCCTGTCCAGAGCAAACCAAGAACGTCATTATAAGTTATCATACTTACTATTGGGTAGAAAACTAGAAGCCAGAAGTACTTACTTTGAAATGGGTGTAGGGTGGCCTTTCTGTTTTTAAAATGTCGCGGGCTTTCTTCCCTAGTATCTCCGTTTTGCAGTAAGCAGGTTACAGACTAATCTCTCAGCAAAGAGAACACACAAAGAGAAGATCAGAAGCCAGTGGGTTTTGAGTAAAGGCAGCCTTAATGCACACTGTTCTCCCATGCACTATTTTTTTTCTTTTTCAAACTGAACCAACATTTAAAAATAGAATTCCCAGCTCCTCTCTAAAAATCAGATGATCTGGCAACACCGAGCCCTCATTCTCACACGTGAACAACTGACTGGAGGTGAGTGGCCACCACCCCTATAGAGGAACGCTAATTACAGCTTGCCACTGCCCACCACCGTTCTTGTATTCCCAAGTCACATGAAGCATGACCTGGTCGCCAGGATCTTTGGTCATTGTAATGGCCTATCCGATCTCTGCGATAGTGTACCAAGGTCAAGGCTTTGAATCAAACTTGGGTTGAAATGAGATATCAAAAGCACTGAACTGAAGATGACAGAAGATATTCCATGATTGACGTATCGTGTAAAAGAGGTTATTATGAATGAGTGTCCGTCGAGAGTGTAAATTGTAGCAAGGCAAGCAGAAACCCAGTTAGTTTCATTCTTGTAGTATCCGGAACACACACTAAGTGTTCAGTTGCTATTTATTTATTGAATGAATGAATGAATGAATGAGTGAATGGGAGAGTTCAGTGGATTTAAAGGCTGTTTTGTTATGTTTTTTTTTTTTTTTAATAAAACTTTTCAGTAAAGCAAGCCTGACAATACTGGTTTGCTGGAATCCCAATGTACATCCTGGAAGAAAAGCCCACCAGAATGCGCCAGGCTCCGCGACCGCGTTCGGGTGATACGCGGCAGTCCTTCGGGAGCCAGGTGGGTTAACTTGCCTAGGACAAGACAAAGTTACGTCCATGAGCTCTTTCACTACCTGGTAAGGAGCAGTTTGATTTCCGTACTTTTCCCTAGATCTCTTCCATTTGATGAGCGAAGACAGAGACCCACCCCTAAAATCCACCACCCAGCGCCTGCCCAGCGTGCGGGACTATGCCCACACTAAACATGGCCAGTCTTAGGCTTCACGCCGCAGTTCCACGCCCGGAGCCTAGAGTCTTAGGGTCGGGCTGCAGGGACAGTACTATTCCCACAGTCAACATGGCGGCGGCGCAGCTTCGAGGTGGGGCGGGGCTGCGAGTCGAGCGGGTCACGTGAGCCGCCCCTTGGGCGGTCGCGCGCGCACGCGCGCCCCTCGGCCGCCGCTCTCTCGCTAGCTCTCTCCGCTGCGCTCTGAGGTGGTGTGGGGCGCGAAGCCCCCCGGGCCGGGTGAGGCGCGGGCGGCGGGATGCGGCGGCGGCCGTGGCGGGGTCGCGGTCCGGGCGGACAGGCGCGGTGATGAGCTTCGGCAGCTCCCGCCATGTCCAAGGTAACGGCTCCCGGGCCCGGGCCGCCGGTGGCGGCGGGCGGGAAGGAGAAGCGCTCGTTCAGCAAGCGGCTGTTCCGGAGCGGCCGCGCCGGGGGCGGCGGCGGAGCTGGGGGCCCTGGACCGGCCGCGCCCTCGTCGTCGGCGCGCTCGGTGGGCAGCTTCATGAGCCGCGTCCTCAAGACGCTGTCCACGCTCTCGCACCTCAGCTCCGAGGGCGCCGCCCCGGACCGCGGCGGCCTCCGCAGCTGCTTCCCGCCCGGGCCGGCCTCCGCGCCTACGCCGCCGCCGTGCCCGCCGCCGCCCGCCTCGCCCGCTCCGCCCGCCTCTGCTTCCGAGCCGGTGCCCGGCGTGGCGGGGCTCCGCAACCACGGCAACACGTGCTTCATGAACGCCACGCTGCAGTGCCTCAGCAACACCGAGCTCTTCGCCGAGTACCTGGCCCTGGGCCAGTACCGGCTGGGCCGCCCGGAGCCGTCGCCTGAACCGGAGCAGCCGGCGGGTCGCGGCCCGCACGGTCAGGGCGAGGTCACCGAGCAGCTGGCGCACCTGGTGCGGGCGCTCTGGACGCTGGAGTACACCCCGCAGCACAGCCGAGACTTCAAGGTGAGCCCCGGGGGCCCTGGAGCTCGGGCGCTTCTCGGGCTCCTCCTCTTCGGGGCCGGGAGGATTTCTGCGCTGGATGCTCAGAGAGTTCTGGAAGATAACCCAGATGACAAAGGAACGCGTTCCTCCCACCATTCAGCCTGTCTTCTTCGAGCGCCCCAGAACACAGGCGCCAGCTCCCATCATCCGCTTTGGGGGATGGATGTCGCCAGGGGCAAGACCCTGCCTTCTTGGAAACTGCAGTTTTTGGAGCGGGTGTTGGTGGGAGAGCATCCAGCAGGGTTCGAATCCGGCTGCTTCTCTCCTAGCAAACCGAACCTGTTTGTGCTGCCCGTTTTCCTGGTACCTACTCCCAGCAAGTTGGCAGGCTCCATTGGACACTATGAAATTACCCAGTTGGGGCACTTTTAGGGGGTTCAACCTGATATGTAAAGTGCTTCAGCTGTGCCTAGGACCCTACACATACAGTGCTCTGTTTCTTTTTTTTCTTAAGTGAAATCAACCAGGTGTTAGCCAGCTAGTACTTTGAAGGAGGCAGAACCTGGTGACGTAACGGATGGGGGAGGTGGTCCTGGCCCTGGTTTGCAGCTGCTGGTGGAGCTGTCCGCTTGGAGAGAGGATAGGCTTGGTGAGCAGTTTGCAAGGTCCGGATGGTGAGGGTCATTTGGGCGGTCCTAAGGAGTTGGGGGTCTTACTGCGCGTTGAGCAAGGAGATGACTGGAGACTGTAGAGAGGATACTTCGAGGTGGGCCATGGGTATGAGAGTTGCTAGAGGAGAACAAGGAAAAAAAAAATCAGTTTCTTTTCATTCCCTTTCTCATCTCTCGTGCTTGGGAGAACACCTCAGTTTGATATTTAGCCCTGTTTTTTTTTTTCTTCCTATGTCTGGTACCCTCATGCTCTACCAGCCTTCTTGAACGGTATTGCTACTTAGTCCAAGGCTGACTTTTCAGCTCTTCCCGACAGCCTCCTGTGTGCTGGGATCAACCTTTCCACCCCCCTCTTTTTAAGTAAGAAAATAAATTTCAAGTTGAAAAACTTTGGTGAACAGCATTGTTTACTCAAGAAAATATATACTTTGTGTTTCTGTGCCACATTTGTGTGGAGGTCAGAGGACAGTTTGTGGAGTCAGTTTTCCCACCTAGGTGTGGGTGGGCTCTGGGGCTTGAACTCAGGTTGTCATGTTTCCCTGCCCAGCCATCTTGTCAGCCCAACAGGAGCTAAATTTAATAAGGTTACACTTTTATTGGATTTTTTTTTATTTGTTTTCTATTTATGGCAAGTGGTACTGGTTTTCTATTGGTGCTATCAAGTTTCTCTCTAAAATACATTTCTCTAAGTACTGATTGGATCGCGGGACCTAATGATGTGTAGCTGAGGACTGCTTTGGGTAGACCCTGCCTTTTTGCTGAGGAGCAACACTGCTGTTATACGCCACTCCTTTTAGCCATTTTTTTTGCTTAATATTGCTGTGTTTTGCTGTTTGATCTTGAGGTTTTGAATGGAAATATTAGTCTGAAATAGGGACTGGAAAAACAAAGATTCATGTTAGGGGTCTCAAAGTAAGAAACTAGGAGAATGCTATTTTTTTTTTTAGGACTCTTTTTCTTTGCTTAGAGTTACCCGTGAGCAGCCACAACAGTGGGGAGTTTTCAAGGCGGGATCCTAGTGTGAATTTTGCAGTTTTTTGGTACATCAGCATCTTAGCATGTAAACACTGCATTTGCTTTTCCATTAAGCTGTGAGTGAGCAGAAATGGGTTAGTAATTCTAGATGTGCAGGACTGATTGATAGGCATACTTTGGCAAAGTTGAGCATATTCTTCGAGGTTGTTCCCATTGCTTTTTATGAGGTTGTGCTCACTTTTACATCCATTAAGCTACCAACAGAAATGGGTCAATACTTCTAGAAGAATAGAGACTTTAGAGGCTTATTTGGCAAAGTTGAACACATTCTTGGAGTCCTCGTTTTTGAAACACTGTAGACTTCTGAACCTTCAGTAGAGTTTGCTGTGTATCCATTAATTCACCTCCCTTTTACTCAGAGTTTACTCAGATGGAAATGCATTCAAGATCAGAAGGAGCATTCCCTAATGAGAGTGCCGGGAAGTAGACATGTTGAACAGGCTGACACAGTAATCTGGTGGTTCTGTGGTGTTTCAGAGGCTTCACTGTATTTATATTGCTAACCCAGGCCATCCTGTTTCCACTCTGTTGTCTTTAGTGTTGCTGGGATTTTAGTATCGTGTTTGTCACCTCATGGTTGCCTGACAGCGACACCTGCTGCACCTTGTGCTCTAGTAGGAAGTCAGGAAGTTATGAGAGAAATAACTGTCCATCAGGCTTCTACTGACACATCGCTGACTACCTGTGTCAGCTGCCACAAATGCTAGAGGCAGGTGTTTGGGTTTCCTGCTTTAATACAGAAGATGAGTCTCTTAGACAGCTCACCCAAGTACCTCATTGACCATGGGTCAGAAACTCACAATGAGGGGTTGAATCCAGTGGGACTTAGGTTCACTGAGAGCTCATATTGTACTTGAACGTGTACTCGAGTAGACTCACATTTACAGCTCACTTGAGGATCTTGTAATAAAGCCAATCCCAATTTGTTGGAGTGGGGCCTCACAGTCTGCTTTTCTGACAAGCTTCCCAGTGCTGGGGCTGCCGCCTATCTAAAGGCTCTTTTTTGAGCAGATGAGGGGACATCACAGAAAAGGAGGCACACTTACTTTCCTGGGGCAGGAAGCGGTAAGGGCTAGTGTGAAATTGCAAATACCTTGAGGAAAGACTGAGACATTAGTAGTTGGTTGCACCATGGCTAGCTGTAGTGGTGCAGAGCACCTTGGAGAAGCACGTTTAAAGAAATCATGAAGGGCTTCGTGGGCTGATTTGGACTTTAGCTTCTGAACATTGGGAACCAGAGCTGATACAGTAGGAGAGTGATAGGATTTCTGTCTCCTTCCCTGTCTCTTTACTCCCTCCTTTTGCCTCTTCCCTCTTTCCCCCTCTTTTTGTCTGTTGCTCTCTGTGGACGATTGGTTTCCCCCTTCCTTTTTTTACTGAATATTATTTTGAGTATAAGGAAAGTTGAAGATGGATGCCTGTTTGTGGCCAGCATCGATCATTTGTGTATTTTTCATATTCAAGTAGCTCACTGAATCTCAAGAGTCCTGCTCAGTTCTTGGCTCCAGGCAGCCACCACTTGACTGGAGCCAGAAGTGGTTAGAATCAGTTCGCCTTCTTGATTTTGCCTTAAGGTCTAGAAGAGCAAGCATTCACTGTGGAGTTGTGATTTTTATCATGTTAAATCTTCCAGGTTAGTCATGTTTCCCTGTAAGTTTTCAGTTAGAGTTCCTCCTTCTCCCTCCTCCTAATCACATTGATTTGTGCTTAAGGCACTTGTCAGTCAAATGTGTTTGTTTTGCTTTGCTTCCGGTTTGGACTATAGTTGTGTTTTCACTTGCTAGAATGACAAATTGACTGGCCCAACTTTGATATACTTCAAGAAATTTCTCTAGATTCAGCCTGCATCTTTTTTTTTTTTTGGGTACACATAGCTTTTCATGCTCTTAGAATGCTGGTTTGCAGTCAGAGCATTGTTACCTTTTTCTGTGCCACATGTCTCTAATCCCCTGGGACATTTGTCTGTGTTTGGAGACATACGGTTGTTATACCACATGGGGTGAGGGTGCTGTTGGCATCTAGGGGGTAGATTTCGGGAATTCTGTATACTGCAGTGTGACCCCATGATTTAGCCCAAGATGTCATTGGTGAGGTGGAGAAGCATTTTGTCTGTTTTCAGCCCAGATTTCCCTAACTTTCCCAGTCTCTAGCCTGTTTACCTTGCAATTTGGTGTTTGTTTGTGCATGTGTGTGCATGAGTTTGCTCACAAGGGTAGAACTTAGACTCAACCCTTGTGTCAGCAACTTTCTTTATAAAACAGAGGAGAAAATAAATGGTTTTAAAATCTGAATACTCATTCTGGTGTTTTTAGGGGAAACCAACATATTGCTTTAATTTTACCAGGAGCATAACTGTTCAGGTTCTTATGAATTGCCTTTTGATTTCTAGTACTCAGTGCTCTTAGGAACAAGTGAAAAAGACAGATGGGCACTTTCAGCCGAAATAGATAAGTTTTGTAGCCTCAGTTTTCAAACCATGCTCTCAAAGGGCAGCTGCAGCAGAGTGATCTACTGATGGAAGTGCTCTGCAGACTCCTTCCAAGTTTGCAGGAACCAAAACAGGAGTCTTGGGCCTGGAGTGGCCTTATCAGCTCAGCCAGTGGCATGACGGGTCTCAGCAGAGCACTTGAACAGGCCCGGTGGACATGCTGAGACAAGCAGCATTTTTTCCCTCTGAGACTGGTACAGAATTGCAGAGAAAATAAGGTCATCTGCTTCCAGCTTTGAATGTGTGCCATTGCTCCTGAGGCCTAGGTACTTTGAGAGATCTTGCTTAAAAACAACCCTTTCCGACTCTTTAAATGCATGAGATGATGTGTGCCATGTCTTACCAGGTGCAGGAAGTGAGAAAGAAATTGTCTAGGAAGGCTACTTGGGGAATAAAATACACAGACAATTGTAGAACTCCATGTTTGCTGATGTTCTGGTTCTTTTTGCTATTGTAATACCACAGACTGGGTGATTTTTAAAGAATTTTATTAAAATTCTGGAGACTGGGAATCGCTGTTGAGAGACCCACACCTGGCAAAGGGCTTCTTCCCGTCATATGGCAGGGGACTGAGAATTTGTAAGTTTTGGGGTGTTAAGGAAGGAAGGTAAGAATGGGATGTAACTTGGTCTTTTTAATCAGGGACCTACTCCTCTGATAATGATGTTTATCCATTCTTGAGGGCAGGGTCCTCATGCCCAATTGCCTCTTAAAGGTCTCAGTATTTATAATGGGGATTGCATTTCAAAAACAGGAGCTTTGGGGGTCATGTTTAAAACATGGCATCCGACTTAAACCACACTATGTCTGCTCAATTAAAGGAGCTG